CTGATTAATAATAGCTGAGATTTGATGCACATTTCAGAATTAATAATCGCTTTTAGTATCTTACTGAATATTTATTGTCTACCAAATGAAATATGAATTATATATGAATCTTTAGACATACAATTTCTATTAATCTTGTTTTTATATAGATAAATGTTCGATAAATACTTCGTTCATAAAACAAACGAAATTCAGCGCGTCTATTTTCATTCCAATCATGGACCTATTAATAAGGTCCATGTTCCAATCAATGGCGTTTGTGAACATGTGCACTGACGTTATCGTTGAATCCCAGGACTTCCGACGGCAATGCTGGCCTGCCTGCCTAGGTCCCAGGCCAACCAATAATAATTAACAAAATGTATTTTTTAAATATAGGCCTATGGCGCATCCTAATACATGCACTTCAACTTTTACAACAAAAGCCTAGGCCTAGTAGTACATCCTACTGTACTTAAGCCTAGGCCTACACTAGTTTGATGTCGTCGGGGTATAATTCTGTCTCTAAATGCAGCGTGAACACTATGGAAAATCAAAATTCCCAAGATTGGGTCTAAAAGATTGCTTTTAAAAACCCAAGATTCGCAAAATATTATTATTGCCTATATACATAAAGTTCATTTTAAAGTCCTTCATTTTAAAGCTTTTTCAATGAATTATATACTGTACAGTATTTTGTACTGTATAGGCCTTAACGAAGTGTCTGGATTTTCGAGGCCCACTCTGTGCGTCCGTGGAAAATCCTTTTTGGTGACTAAAACGTGATATCATTTCCTCTGGCATTGTATGTTAGGCCAAGAGTTCGAAGTTTGTGCGCAATTTCACCCATTCGATATTAACTAAGTCAGTACTTCACACACATTAGGCCTATGGCCTACAATATTATATAAAAAGGCATAATCGATCTTTACAGTGTGTCTAATTGATCTGTCAATTTTATACCAGAGCCTACGGTATTGCATAGGAGTATTTAACAATTTGAAAAATGGGGAAAACAGTTTCCTTTTAAATTTACTTCGCGAGTGTGTATGAAACCGGGTCTATGGCAACTAAAATTTGATACTAAGTGTAAAGATACGGACCCTATTAGTAAAAACTGTTGAATTCTAAATGATTACAAGATGACCAAGCATATGGATGAATCAGTCTAAAGTGGTATTCAAAGATATTATACAGCTAACCGCTAATGCTTGCTTTGCATGTCTATCACACACTGTCACTCACAAATGTATGTAAAAATTGGTCGTAAAATTTGATAACAAGTTGACCATTAAAATCTATTGTAAATATTTATTTGAATTCGTACACCGATATTGTTTCAAGTTGTTTGTTTTCAATATTATAGCTGTTTCATTACGATGACAATGTTTTGAAATCGTACGGTACTGTATAACACTCCAACATTTGTTTTATGCGCAAACAACAGAAGGCTCTGAATTTTTACAAGTTGACCAAGCGTGTTGCTGCATCACTATTCAAACAGAGAGCAGGCTGATAATTTGTTTTTCCCACAGCTATTTAGATGTCGTTGTTGGTAACTTTTTTTTTTTTAATTGTGAGTGTAAATATTCTTTAGTTAGTCTTTATACTGTAGATAAGAATTGTAGATAAATAATGCACATAAAATCAATTGTCGATAGAGAACGGCGTCAGTCATCTTATTAGTCCCATATTAATAGTACCGATATTTTGAATACTCCTCTTCCGCGAATTGTTTTATTGACAGTAACGCATCTAATTCTTATGTAATCATTATAACATTTTAATCGAAATAGTTCACCATATCATAAAAGTTTGAATACCCACCCAATTCGTTGGCGATCCTCGTGTATGTTATGTTAATGAAGCATGTCATACTGTACAACAAGGGAATGTGTATTACAATATGCCAGTACGTATTTTTTAGATTTTGACGCACTCCGTTCTGTTGTGTGTGTCTGCTGTTGAAAACAAACTTCCTCATTTTATGACTCGCTATGATGACTGAGATGGACCATGTTGATTTGTTAATAGTATTTTGTTTGGGATGGAAAAAAGGAGAGTCAATTTCCCAAAAATGCTCCATCAGCAAATAGCTTAG